TTTGTTCCATGTTGAACGACCAAATTCTTTTTTGAGAAAATATATTACTAAGCTGCAGTTTTCTTTCAGATCAACGATTGAAAGTCGCTAGAAAATAAAATATGGCTGAAAAGAGAACATTACCACAACTTCCATTTCTGAATTCATTTGAACTTTGTAACATTTTATTTTCTTTAATGTGTGAAATAAATCTATTGTTTATGTCATTTCTGTCTAATCAATTACAGCACCAAAATTTGATTGTGATTAGCTCTTGCGTAAGTACTGTATGCATTTATATTGTTTAAATTTGAAAAAAACAAATATTCTCTTTAAACGAACTACGATTTAATATCAAATTGAGGTATTTCCTTAATTGCTACATATTATGATCAATTTGATTTTATTGTATTGATAAGCATCAAAAAAAAATTGCAGCAGTAATATGCATTAGGGATACTTCAGAAGGCATCTATTTATATGCACTAATAGTAATACCGTAAGCATCCCTGTTCTTTTTTACTATCCAAAGCAGTTTATTCTGTAAGTTAGAGCTCAGATTTTTTCATTAATTATAATTCGTTTTAGTACGCGGTAAAAATTCAATCTCATCTATTGCAAACAGTAATGAAACTGCGCTACAAAGCGTCAATCTTGCATCCAGGATAAAATTCGACAACAGTAGAACTTCGGTGACTGGTAGTAATAAAAAGACATAGCGTACAAATTTTATTACCTTCACAACAATAATCAGTGATGCTTCTCCGAACTTTCCAACAAATATTTATCTTGCAAATTTACCTCATTATGCTGAAGTGTTGGAACTGTGTGAATCAAAGTTTTAGTTTTGTAGAATAAGTTTTTTGAGAGAAGAGCGAAATGACATTTGAATATTAAGTTTCAGTGCTTTGTATTGATATGTGAATTACTAGTACAACTTGCAGTTTTTTGCAGATAAGCAGATAAAGAACAATTATTTCATTCAAAATCAAATGTTAGTCAAATATAACTTCTGATTGCTTGCAAGTACGAAAATATTATTTGAATTTCTTTTTCTTTTTTTCGCGTGCTACTACCTTAACGATTAGGAAAGATTTGAAGACAATTTGTCGTCACGGACTTTACTATCTGTATAATTAAAATTCTCGAAATAACTTTGCAGGTTTGTGGAAAGTGATGCTGTTTATTACAAAGGTAGTTTGGTATTAATATTTTTAGCTCGATGACATAAGTCACTTATATAAATTGAATTAAAACTTTTTTATACTGAATTTCTTGATTTCATATCATGATTATGAGTTTTAATGACGCCGCGCAATTTTGTGTAGGTATTCCGAATGAATTTGCCACAAAATTGGTGTTGCTGCTCATGAGTTTCACGATTTCACTGATACTGATTTGTCTATTTCTGCTGTTGATAATTTACGTTCGCAACAGGGATAAGCACAAAGACTTACTCTCAAAAGCTAAAGATGATTTAAAGCATGTGATCATTGAAAAAGGTTCAGTGAATGTTTTAATTCTGTTGGAGGGTCGGACTTGAATTTAAGTTACTAAGTTAAAACAATCAATAAATTGTGACAAGTTTATAGTTGTTGGAATCTTGAAAAAATGAGATGAATGAGTGAAAAAATTATTGGCTATGAGGTAGAATTTCAGCTTCGCCATACATCGTCACACCAGAACAGAAATTTACTCAGCAACTGCTAGCTTCTCAGGTATTTTTAAAAGTTCCTGAAAATCAAGAGCATAATCATCTTTCATATTCGTTGAGTGTGGAAATGATTTGATACTCAATATCTCAGGCGATAACTTCCATCGAATGTTCGGTTTACGATATTGCTGACACATTATGCTACGTCGCAATCCACGCCAAAATTGCAGATGAATTTTTTCATACGTCGCGAACATTCATTCGCTTAGTGCCACGTGGTAGAACCAAATTTGATAAAAGTGGTTAGTGGTTTAAGAGATGTATAAATTTCATTCGCAAATTTATCACAAAAGAAGTAAAATTTTTTACAGGAACACAAGATAACAAAACTCAGCAATTAGACTAGATAAAATCAAGCACTCTAGATTTTTCAAAAAATGTGACGCGAAATGAATAATAATTTTTTGTTAATCTGATGCACTATTAAATAAACACAGAAGTTCCAGAAAGTCGCCAAACTCAAATTCCACATCCAACTTGACACAAGGAGTTCATCGTGTTAGTTTTCAATCTAATTTTATTTTTTGATTGATAAATTGATACCAAATTGAGAAGAAATTTTCATTTACAACAAATTAGTCATTCCATTCATTTCAAATTATCTGCTTGCTTATTTCTTCAATGATGGCGGAAACTGAACACAATATGAGCATATATTCTGTTGTTGAACTACGACATAATATCGTACACCTTCTGCGTTAAACAACTTCTGTCGATATATGTCTTGTTCTAAGCTATGTTGTGCCAGTTTATGTTTCGCCGTCATCGGTTTCAAGGGAGGGATCGACTGAAACGCTTTCGAAAGCTTTATTGAGTAGTATTACTTACTTTTTCAGTGATGCAGCATACATTTTGCTGTCTAACTATGATACAATATAAATCCAGTTTTTTTGCTCATAGATGGATCCAACAAATTTATATACATCAATTTTGCTTTCTGGTTATGTGCATTAATTTAAGTTGAATTTTATATTTTTGTGTGGAATATTAACATTCTCCTTATGTTCTGCTACAATGAAAATTACGAATTGATAGTGCCATATATAAATAAATAAAAATATGGAGTTAGTTTTCATCTTCACTGTAATTGTTTCTGGCACTGGATCACATTCTGGCATTCTGACAATACTTGTCTCGTACTCAGATTTGTTGCACTCATCGTTCTCGTTTCATCCTCGTGGAATCCATATCGATTGTCGAAAGAGATGGCCTTCGACCGTCTTCCTGAGAACTATCGATTGGATGTATGCCTCGGCAATACTAATCTCCTTCGTATAACGTTTGTGAAATCATCGCTATAATTTTATCTCAAGTCAGCGCATGCAAAATATTTTGGTCCTGCATTTCATCTCTGACCCAAGCTTATTAGCAAATAGGTCATATTTTTACTCGACTGCTGTCAACCTATCCTGATTATTGATGCCAACCTCAATCAGAATTAGTTTACGTCGCTTCTTATTGCGTATCATCATATCCGGTAGATCCGCATTCATTCTGATTGCAGTTCTTACTCACGTATGGACCCTGATCTCAAAGTTGTCGTTTGCGACGATTTCATAAACAGAGTGTTTTTGTAAGCGTGGTAATGCTTATAGACCATAATTTTTTGCAAAATCCTGAATGAATCCATCGCAGGACTTCATTGTGTCTTCTAGTACAGTCATGGTATAAGATTTCTCACAATTGCTAGATGGTCCACTGTCTTCACACGTTGCCTACAATGTTCGCACATACCATTCTCACTTCTAAACATATTTGTCTTGGAGGTGACAGTATCGCGCTTTATTTGTGGGATAGTATTTCCAAATCTCGATGTCAAATTCATCAATTGAATTTGCCATCGAGGCTAGCTAATTTCTTATTACTTTGTATAGTTTTGCATGTCGAATTTTATTTTCTATAACGCTATACGAGAGTGCTTTTTTAGCTGCGATACATTTTCAACGGTTGGATTTTCTACGAGGTTTTCTACTATAGCTCCCCTTTTTGTTCAGCGCAATGAAGCTCACGTCGAAGCTTATCCTTTCGCAAGTAGAGTTTTTCCAAACATGCAGGTTGGATGTGAATTCCGTACCCAATTAGTAACTGTCTGATATCCTACTAATTGCTCGAAAGTCTTCAGGTTCCTGTCTAAAGACAATCTAATATAATAATTAAATAATCCACAAAGGCACAACGTATCTTATTCTTACAGATGTTTCAAACAAAAATAGTTACTACAGCATGACTTCATGTCAGACCTTACAAGTTGACAATGAAATGTGTGCATGAAACATAAAACTGGATATTGCCACGAGAAAACTATTTGCAGACAATCAGTTAGGAACTGTTGGAAAGGTTGAAGGTGCGAAAGTCAAAGTACTCTTGAATCTGACGGTACAAACAGCTTTGTTTGTTTTATGCATGGACCCACGGAACCGTAAGCTCGATGTCAGATACCTAAAGTGTAGGTTTTCATCGATAAAAAGTGCATGCAACGAACCCTTCACTAATTGTGGATGACCTCAAGCTCCTTGCTGCTAACAAAGATATCATGAAAGCTAGGGCCCGAGAAGTCCAGAAGTTATTTAAAACAGTAACGTTAAAAGTGAATGCAACGAAGTCAGCCACTAATACTGAAGTATACGCTGACTAAGCAATACTCTTAGAAGGAATTGTAAAGTATAAATATTTTGTCATGATGGAGAGCAGGACTAACGTTCCGACTGAAAAAGCAACAAAAAAGTGCGAGCAGAGATTTTGTGTGAACTGTATGACTAGTCAAAACTGCACTAAAGCCAAAACTTTTTGTAGGCAGTAAATGAGCAGGCCATACTTATTTAAAAACTCTGACATGCAGAGCAACTGGGATTTTCCTTCTAAATAGACTACTTATTTAAAGAGAATTGTTAAAACTGAAATATGAAAAAACTGACTGTTGCAAGGTTCAGTCAAGTTTGCTTGGCAGAGTTGTATGACTGTCACAGTTTGACCATGGACATATCTCACATAACGCTTTGTGATGTGTATTTTTGTAGCTTTTAGAATAAGTAGTGCATGAACACTGAAAGAAGTGCGTTTACGTGCAAATTCCACGAAACTGACACAAATAAGACGGCTTGTCGTCCTCTAAAATGAAAAATCTTTCTCTTCTTAAAACATTAAAAGATCAATTTTTGAAATCTTATCGAGTGATTTGCTTTTGATACTGGTAACTAATACTCCTGTTAGATTTCAAATTTAGCAAATATACGAATCTTTGTTATAACGTTAATCAAACACTTTAAACTCGTTTGATGAGGTTCCTTTGTTGTAATAACGCATGAAACAATTTAAAAAAGTGGGAAATCTCTGAAGAGTTGTGCTTTTTGAACAAAGTTTTTCCAGGTATTTGATGATGAGAAAATGCTAAACTTGATGCGATCGTTTGCCATATTCAGTGTTAAACAAGTTGGTCGTATGAAGTGGTCACTGTGTTTTTGAAAATAAAGTGACATATTTTGATCGCATTGTTTCTGTAATCAATGTTAATTGGAAAGGAGCGAAATACGAAAAATGTTTGGATACTTACTTTATTACCAAAATGAAGTTCAACTGCCACCAATAAAACAAGGAAAAACTTTTCTGTTATAAATTATTTTCGGGTATTTCTGATTGCATTTTAAACAGAAAAAAGAAACATATATTTGTAGTAGTTGCAGTTCTGATTCTTTCTGTGTTTTAATTGAAAGAGATATTGAGAAAAAAAGACTTACTATGTATTGCTTGCATTCACATTGGAAAAACTGGTATGTAATCGCGTGATGCAAATAATTTGGTCAATGACAATTTTGTGGACGCCATGGGTATGCGTTTAGTATTTCACAATACAATTTGCTTAAAAACCAGCTGTATGAATAAAATATGATAGTTTTTTTTTTGAGGTGGGGGG